TACTTCTGACCTTTCCTTGATTGTGCTTTTTAGGGTTTTTTAAAAATATAAATACATGCCATATTTTCTTAAAAATTTTTTCTGCTCTTATTAACATAATATAATAGTTTAATTCATGTTTAATTGTTGAAAAATACTAATTGTTTTCCTAATTTTGACCAATGACTACAATTAATTTAACTTGTTCTTAATTAATTTTTGGATACACCATGTTACTGCACTTTGCCAAAATTTTAATTAAAATATTTTCATTCATAATCAATGCTCACATTATTATAAACTTACCTTTCTTAGCTTTATCCTCTTGTATGGGTATCGCAATAATATTTTATTCATAAAAGGAATCTGGTTAACATTCTTTATTATTGGGATTAATTTTTGTAGCACATATATCAAATCTTTCTTTAAACATCTGATTAAAAAACTTTGTAAAAAAAAAATTTGGATCAAGAGTTTTTTTTCTTCCTTAGTAATTCATCTATGCTTTATTCAATTTCTAACACCAGATTCTTTAGCAGAAAATCAAGTAGATGCTGTCTCTTTTTGAATCATATTTGGTAATAATCATTTTATAAAGCATATTATTGTTTATGAGTTTAATATTTTTTTCCTTTTATCTGTTTCTTCTCTAATTTTTAAAGATATATCTTTTGGCTTTCTTTAGGCTTTTTAATGTGCTGATTTCATAGGTTTTTTTTCACAATGAATTCTCAAAATCATTAACTTTCCTTTTACATTTTTTCAATAATACATTTTCTTTTAAGGAATTTTTCTTTTAAGGACTGCTTAAGATTCTAATAAAAATTGGTACGCTGTCACAACAAAACTCTTGAAAATAATTACTAACTGCTTCTATGATTTTTCCTTTAGCCAACTCATTGTTAGGATACTCTTACTCTTCAATTAGACTCATATCCTTTCATTCATGTTTCCATTACTGTCTACTATTTTTGTTGAATTACTCTTCATAAAACGCTTATTATTTCTGCAACTTTTATGTTTATTTCTATTAAGTTTTTATTCCATAAAATTTGATAAATTATTTTTACAGGTGCCAGATAATGACGTAAAATATGTATACTCATTCATGTTCCAATTGATAAAAAACCATAAGTCTTTCAAATTCAATGTAAATAGCATTCAGTTTACTATTCTTTTAAGAACCTATAGACCAAGACAGACAAAGATGGTAGAAAAGGAGGAAAGCAGTTCCAAGATCTGTCCCACAAGTACTCCCCAAAAAAATGAGACAAAATAATGACCAGAAAATCCAAAAAGAAGTAATAATAGGTCATAGTTCCAGCTAAAGATCAGGAATTCAGTCCACAGGGAAGTGGATGCTCTCATGCTTGGCTGATGTATCATGACAAGGTAACTGGCAAAGAAGTTTCACTCAGCTAATTTAAATCAAAGAGTCCTCAATGATGATCCTTATCAACTATCTATAACTATCCTGCTAACAGGTGAAGTCAATATCTTTTTGATAAATATTGAATGAACTAAGAATGTCTCATTTTGTTCAAATATCAAACCTAACTTATTAGGGAACTGGCTTGAGTCAAGCCCTGACCAGAACAATTGTAGCCGTCTCCCAGGATTACAACAGAATGAATTCAACTGAAATGGGGGCCTGAAGTGCAAAAGAAGATGAGCCTAGATTGGCTTTCATGCTTCTGATTTGTGCTTTTGTCTATAGATGGGAGTAGCTTCCTAAGAGGCATCCTCCACTTACAGTAGATTAGAGAGTAAACTGTGGCCTGTGGCCATCAGCAAGGACAGACATTATTCTCTGCGTCCTTAATGACTGTAACTTCAAGATAATTGCAGTAAACTGGATGCATGAAATATTGGTTGCTTGATAATGAAATTATAACTTTGACTGTGACATTTCTTGGTGAAGTAAATTTGAGGATTCTATTTCAGTGTCCTACAGATTCTATTAATCACTACTTTGCCTTTTTTCCCCTAATTCTTATGCATAATTTTCTGGAACAATAATATTTTTAAATAGCATTTAAAAATTTTTAAAGCACTTCATATACCAATTACTCTTTGAGGCTGGTTGGTCATTGTCCTTCATGCTCAAAGAGTACCAAAATGACATCACTATGTTGAAGTCAAGGTACAATGTGTCCAACTGTGGCTGATCAGAGCTCAGAAGGCTCTACCTCAGGTCAGACACAAATAGTCTTTATGAACATTTGGAGTAGGGATGTCTGTCAATTTGCACATCTCCCATTTCTTTTGAGCTACCGCAATTCTGCTTTGCTCATTGATGTGGGCAGAGCATGCTGGGCAGTCCTCTGCCAGCATCTCCCATGTCTCACAATCAACTCCAAAGTTCTTCAAAGAGACCTTGAGAGTAGTGTTATATCACTTCTGCTGACCTTCATCTGAGCACTTGCCTTGTGTGAGCTCTCTGTAAAAATAGTCTTTCAGGTAAATGTACGTTTGGCATTCAAACAATGTGGTCAGCCTATCAGAGTTTCACTCTCTGCAGTAGAGTTTAAATGCTTGGCAGTTCAACTTGAGAAAGGACCTCAGTGTCTGGTACCTTATCTTGCCAGGTAATCTTCAGAATCTTTCTAAGACAATTCATTTGGAAGCAATGCAGTTTGCTGGCACGGTGCTGGTATACTGTCCAGGTTTCCCAGGCATAAAACAATGATGTCAGCACAACAGCTCTATAGACCTTCAGTTTGGTAGGCATCCTAATAGCTCCTCTCTCCCACACTTTCCTTTGGAGCCTCACAAACATTGAGCTAGCTCTAGCAATGTGTATATAACCTCATTATCTATGTGAACATCCCTGGAAAGTTTATTGAATTTATATATTGGCATTTAATAGACTATGTCATTGTAAAGAGAAGAGACAGACAGGATATGAGAGTTATGAAGGTGATGTGTGGCACAGAGTACTGGACTGGTCACAGATTTATCCTCTCCAAGCTAAACATTTGCATTCAACAAAAGTACTGGCCCCAAGGCAATACTACAAGTCAATAGATTAGAGCACTTCTTGTGTGAAGAGTTTTTTGCTAACTTGGAGGGAAAGCTGAGCCAATATGCAATTGGCAACAGTGGAACTCCATGAGGTAGGTACTACCTTCAAGGTACTACTGTTGGTAGTGAATATGTACTGCTACTGGTAGTTAGGTTTACCCTAAAATTAACTTCACCATGGTCACAAAGCTAATAAGTATGATAAATGGAGTCTAAATATAGATTTTGCTCACCAAGACTAGAATTCTAAACAATATATTATACTTCGTCTGTGTTATATGAAGACCTTTAATTCTTATCTTACCTCTTTTCATCTTATGTTCAAGGTCAATTTCCTCACTCAAAAAAGCAATGAGTTGAAAAAAAAAGGCAATGAGTTAGACTAAGTGACTTCTTAAAAATCTTTTACATTACCTCTAATAGTCTATGATTCCTCGTGAGAGGGTAAAAACGGGTTTAAACCCAAACAAAAAAAATTCCTGGTAAAATATATTACAATAACAACAAATGGAATATATTTTAGTTACCATTTCCAACAAAAATTATGATTTTCTTAAGAAAGGTATGTTGCTAGTTACAAAATAATATATCTGATGCATTATGGATTCTAAGAAACTATTATAGTACCTCAAAATGCCAATACAAAGAAATCCTCAAAAATTACTTCATGCCAAAAAGCATAAAAATTGGCATTACCACTAAAAGAGAGAGAATGTCTCATGTACAAAAAAAAAACTTGCTAATTTCCTTTCAAAAAGCCTTTTTTTTAGAACACCCGCTAAATCTGAGGTGACCTACCTCTCTAATTAGATGCTAAAAATACCATGTATGCTTGAGAATAATAATCTTCAAGTAAGTGAATCTTATAAAAATATAAAAAGTAAAATTGATGACAACCAAGATAAATCAAGATACTGACTAACATAACGCCTAGGAGCACAGTAGAAATATTAAACTTCTAAGATAGCACCTAACTTCTTACTGTACTTAATTTCTTATATCATTCATTCATTCAAAAGCATTTAAGTGTCCACTATGTGCAATATACTATGCTAAGAACTGATAAAAAGACAATGTTTAGCCAATAAGTGTTTAAGACTAAGAGGGCCTTAAGGCTAAGTGAGAGATGACTTCCAAATGAGTGGCCTAAGAAAGCTTTCAAGGAATAGGCAAATCTTGCTTTGTAGTTTATTAATATTATCTTATTAATAAAAATAATTAACATTGATAATAGTGTTTTAAGGTTTATAAAGTACTTAACAAATATTATCTTATTTGAGTCTCAAATAACTTTGTATGGTGTTATTATTACCATTTTACAGAGATTGAAGAGTTAATTGACTTGCCTAGATTCACAGTTAGTAAGCATCTGTTGGAGGATTCAAATTCAGGTCTTTCTGATTCCAAGTTGAGAATTAATGATCTCTACTTTACTATCAACATTTATACTAACTTCATGCAGACAATTTTATGTGGAATATGTTTATAATTATGCTTTAGAATCACACCATTCAGATCATTATTTTATGGGGAAACAATGCCAAGAACACCTATCTGCTCATGATAATCTCAAACGTGAGAACATCCCTAGGCTCCTCTACAAGAAATGGTCTTAAGTGGTCATTCATAAGGTATTCATAAGTAGGTAACTGTCTGCATTTTGATGTTTCTCTTAAATTGGCAGTATATGAATGAAAGTAACAGTTTCCTGTTGCTATGGAGAAAAAAAATTTTACATTCCTACTCTTTTAATTGCACTTTTAACACCTGTCAGTTCTCTTACTGTGGGTAAAACCAGACATGGCAGAGAGATGAGATGTTTTAATCAAGCCATAATCTTAAATAATAGAAGCATAATTCCTAGGAATCATGGAAAGCATGTCACAAAGATATAAATGCAGAGCAGTAGCACTTCTTAATGTACAAGGAAATATAATTTGAGATAAAGAAAGTGTAGTAACTGATGTTTCTCTGAAAAATAAGCAGCATTTACTTACATTTTAATGTTTCTCCAGCATATGGTATATGCAATTTAAATCGATCACAACTAGGTCCAGGAGTCAAGGAAGTACAGCTTGAAGAAGAAAAAAATTAGAAAACAATTAACCAAAATATATTTTACATACAGATGAAACAGTTATAGAAATGGTTATTCCACTTTCCTCCTTTCAGAGAGATGACTACTGAGATTGAGAGAGAGAGGTGGGAGAAAGAGGGGAATACATATTCTTGTGGGAATCTGTCTTGCTGGAATATATCTAAAAACACACACACATATAGTTATGATGAGGGTTTTCTTTTCCTTTTTTTTAAACAAAAGGAAATGTGGGCTGTGGGAGGAAGAGATTATAAATGCATGTAAATATAAATATTTTAAAGGTATGTTAATAAGAGAGACAGAGACTATCTTGAAGCAAAAACTTTAATGGCCTTGAAATAGAAAGGTTTACTACTATTAGCAAAATAATCAAAAATTTTCCAACTAGTAACATCAAAAGCCAAATCTCAACTTTCAGAACTAAGCTTATAATTCAAAATAATTTCCATCCTTTCAGATCCAAAAATATACCACAAAAATAAAAGAGCACATTTAAGGATATATGTGTATACAGACTCTTTACAGTAGTCATTAAGTACAAAATGAGCTAATGTTGGACTGTTCTATCATACAGCTTCCTTTCTTCCAATGTAAATGCAAAACTTCTCGAATTGGCATATCATAATTTAAACTTGAAAAGGACAAAAAACTAAGCTTCATTCAGTATAAAATGAAAATATCCAATCTAGTATCTTAATCGTCCAGAACTCAATTAGGAGTTTTTTGAACTCTATTACCTTACAAAAAGATAACCACAAGTATAGATGTGTTACTCAAAAAAAGCATCTTTGATGATCATAAGTCATGACTGTCAACAGGCTAACAACATAATAAACAAATAAAAATATCACTATAAAGTGAATCGGGGAGGAGCTGTATATTTTGGTTTAATGGGAAAATCACATTTTTAATTTTTACTAAATAATTGTTATAGTATCTATCACAAATACATAATGAAACTGAAACAGGAGAAGGTAACTTAATAGGGGGCAGAGATGGAAAAGAATTACAAAGATAGACTAGAGAATGGGCGTTACCAGGAAACAAAGGAGAGAAAAGGTACCCTCTAAGGCAGTGGGAAGAAGGGAAAAGGGTCACAGAGAAAAAACAAGGCATCTAGAGATTCATCTAGGAAACACTGATACTGTGGGCTACAAATCAGTAGCTTATTATAACCGAAAAGTCAAATGACAAAACAGGGCACATATCTGGCCCTGAGCAAAATTCCCTAGGCATTTTTAAAGAAGTAGAAAGAACCTGCCAAAAGAATTTTTCTACAAGCATAATAAAATACTTGAGATATGGCTATAAAACAACGTGACATTGGTCTTTATTACAAACATATACATCCAAATGACCGTGGAGCCCTTTAATCTAGACACCTTGAGTGGTAATACACTTAAGCAACCACTGTTCATACTTGAATGGATGACAGAAGAGCTACATAGGATGTTAACCTCAGGTTCACAGTGAATTTACTGCAAATCACTCCATTTCAAAGGATCATGGAGTTTGTGCTGGAGATAATCTAAGAGCTAGTCTAGTCTAGTCTCCTCAGTTGACAGATGAGAAAACTGAGGCCCAGAGAGATTCAGTGATTTGCCCAGTGTCACAGGCAGCATGTGACTGAATCACAATTCAAAATCAGGTGCTCTGACTTCAAATAAAAGCACTCTTTTCACTGCACCAAGCTGCCTCCCTTAAATCACAACAAAACTTAATACGGCTAAAGGGCTGTGCTTGAGCCATTCTACATTGATCGTTACAATCACTTATTCCTCTTTATATTAGATAATTGGTAAACTTACTAGAAAACTTCAAAAGTTAATACAAAACCAGCAGCTTAACAGCTTAACTTTATTATTACAGGTAAGAGGGAATGGGGAAGAGTATAATCATTTATTAAAAGCAAGTACCTATTACATTCTAGACCCTGTGCTGACTGATTTACAATTACAATTCATTTGATCCTCACAAAAATCCAAGGAGGCAGGTGCTACTATTATGTCCATTTTACAGTTGAGGAAACTAAGGCAGACAGATGTTAAATGACTTGCCCAGGGTCACACAGCCAAGAAGTGCCTGAAGCCACATTTGAACTTAGAGCTTCCTGACTACAAGCTCAGTATTCTAACCACTAAGCAACATAGTTATCTCTAAATTTAAAATTTATAGATTGCAAAGATCTGATTTCATTTCCATTCCACCTACAAAAAAGTATTTTGGGGGCAGATTTCATAAGCAGTACTAAAATATTTCACTTTAATCTTTTCTGTCCCCTATAACATAAGCTATTTGAAAATACCTGAATAAAAACCATAAACTGATGGACACTAAAAAAAAAAGTGTAGCCTAATGGTGATAATGGCACTAAAAGTAACACTAAGCATTTTTCCCCCAGGCATTATAGTCTACTTTGAATGTTTTTTAAATGTTCCTCTTCTAGAAATGATCTACATTCAAAGTGAATTGTCTTAGGTGCTGGGGGCAGCAAAGAAGTGTTATCATTGGACAAATTATTCCTCTGTTACGTTGGAGTTTCTGAAGCACACTAGGAATACAGAGAACCCTAGGATTAGTCTAAAACAGGAGCTCTTAGCCTTTTTTTATGTCAAGGATCCCTTTGGCACAGTCTAGTCAAGTCTGTGGACCTGTTTTCAGAATAATGTTTTTAAATGTATAAAATAAAATACTAAGAACTACAAAGAAAACAAGTTACACTATCCTTACCCTAGAATCATGGCTGAATCCTTCCTAAAATGATGGTCCGCAGAAGAAAGTTACCAATCAGGAGCACGAAGCAACAGTTTCTTATTGCTGTGAAGAATACGTCCACATACAGTACAATTCTCTTTTAAAATGTTTTATATCTTGCTAAAAAAAGCCACTTTAGTACCCTGCCACCTTGGACTGCCCCCTTCCTACTTTAGCTATCTGTTCCAGCAACTTCCAGGTATCTAAAATCTCTCATAGGTAGGCTTTCTTCTTGTTGATATTTTTAACAGAGGGTTGGATGGATGTCACCTTTGGCTTCTGATGAGTATCCCCCTGTCCGCTATCTACTTTTCTCCTAGCATCACAGGGAACTATATAGCAGCACAGCCTAGTTCAAAATGTCTGAAAAACACAATGAGATAGAATATGTTCAACTCTTTAAAACTCAAAAAGCTCCTGTCACTCACCTTTGAAGCTCCTAAGAAAGTTATTTTCTATAATGTGACCTATTTAAAAGGCTAGAAACTGTTGAGTTCCGTCTAAGATTTTATTAGAAAATTTGCCCCTTCTCTTTCAGAATTCTTGATTATTGGAAGGGTACAGACAAATCAACAAGGATTTATTAAGTGACTACTCTGTCAAATACTCTGCTAAACACTGAGGATACAAAGGCTAAAAATCAGTCCCTGCTCTCAAGGAACTCACAATCTACTGGGGGAGAAAACATGCAAGCAACCTTGTACAAACAGGCAGGATAACTAGGAGATAATCAACAAAGGGAAGGCACAAATATTAAAAGGATCAGGAAAGACTTCCTTAAAAGGGTATTAGTTTAGCTTGGACTTAAAAAAAGAGAAGAAATGGGGGTGGGGTGGCGGAAAAGACAGGGAGAGAAGAGATGAGGAAGAAGAGCATTCCAGGCATGAGAGACAGCCAGTGAAGATGTCCAAAGTAAGTGGATGGAGTATCTTCTGTGAGGAACTAGAAGGCTAGTGCCATTGTACTGCAGAGTATGTGGGCAGGAGTAAGGTATGATAAGATAGGGAAGGTAGAAAGAGGCCAGGTTATGAAAGACTTTGAATGACAAATAATATTTTATATTTAATTCTGGAGGTGACAAAGAGTCTCCAGAGTTTACTGAATAGGAGGGTGACTTGGTGAGAATTGTGCTTTAGAAAAATAAATATGACAGTTGAGTGGAGAACAGTCTGGACTGGGTAGAGACTTGAGACAAGGATATCAACCAGAAGGCTAAAGGATATCAACCATTTTCCTGTTTTGTCACATTGGCCAATCTGATAGGTGTCATGTAGTGCCTCAGCATTGTTTTGATTTGGATTTCTCTAATCAACAGTGATTTAGAGCATTTTTTCATGTGACTATAGATGGGTTTAATTTCTTCATCTGAAAACTGCCTGTTCATATCCTTTGACCATTTATCAATTGGAGAATGACTTGTATTCTTATAAATTTGACTTAATTCTCTATCTATTTTAGAAATGAGGGCCTTATCAGAGACACCAGTTGTAAAAATTCTTTCCCAGTTTTCTACTTCCCACATAATCTTGGTTGCATTGGCTTTGTTTGTACAAAAACTTTTCAATTTAATGTAATCAAAATTATCCATTTTGCATTTCATAATGTTCTCTATCTTCTGTTTGGTCATGAAGTCTTCTGTTTTCCATAAATCTGATAGGTAGACTATTCCTTGCTCTCCCAGTTTGCTTACAGTATCAGCCTTTATATCTAAATCATGAACCCATTTTGATTTTATTTTGGTATATGGTGTGAGATTTTGGTCTATGCCTAGTTTCTGCCATACTCTTTTCCAATTTTCCCAGCAGTTTTTGTCAAATAGTGAGTTCTTATCCCAGAAGCTGGGGTCTTTGAGTTTATCAAATAGTAGATTACTATAGTCATTGACTACTGCGTCTTGCATACCTAACCTGTTCCACTGATCCACCACTCTATTTCTTAGCCAGTACAAGTAGTTGATGATTGCTGCTTCATAATACAATTTAAGATCTGGTATGGCTAGGCCACCTTCCCCTGCATTTATTTTCATTAGTTCTCTTGATATTCTGGACCTTTTGTTATTCCAAATAAATCTTGTTTTTTTTCTAGCTCTATAAACATGACAAAACAGGAAAATGATAAATGTTGGAGAAGATGTGGGAAAATTGGAACACTAATGCATTGTTGGTAGAGTTGTAAAGTGATCCAACCACATTAGAAAACAATTTGGAACTATGCCCAAAGGG